TGTTCCTCCTTCCTCCCGCCTCCTTGTACATCCTCCTTGTGGGGGGAGCGGGAGAAGGACGAGGCGGAGGAGGGAGAGAAAGCGCTCCTCGTGGTTTGAGTCGTTTGGGGTTTCTCGTCCTGGTGTGAGTCGTTCGGGCCCTTCTTCCTGGTGTGAGTCGTTCGGGCTCTTCGTGGTGTGAGTCGTTCGGGCTCTTCGTCCTGGTGTGAGTCGTTCGGGCTTCTCGTGGTGTGAGTTGTTCGGGCCCCTCGTCCTGGTGTGAGTCGTTCGGGCCCCTCCTCCTGGTGTGACTCGTTCGGGCTCCTCGTGGTGTGAGTCGTTCGGGGCCCTCGTCGTGGTGTGAGTCGTTCGGGCTCCTCGTGGTGTGTGAGAGTGAGTCGTTCGGGCGTGGTGTGAGTCGTTCGGGCCCTCGTCTGGTGTGAGTCGTTCGGGTCTCGGGCCCCTCGTCCTGGTGTGAGTCGTTCGGGCTCCTCGTGGGCCTCTTGGGGGCCTCTTGGGGCCTCTTGGGGCCTCCTGGGGGGGGGCCTCTTGGGGGCCTCTTGGGGCCTCTTGGGGCCTCCTGGGGGCCTCTTGGGGGCCTCTTGGGGGCCTCTTGGGGCCTCTTGGGGGCCTCTTGGGGGCCTCTTGGAGGCCTCTTGGGCGCCTCCTGGGGGCCTCTTGGGGCCATCTTGGGGCCTCTTGCGACCTCCTCAGAAGCGCAAATGAGCGCTGCCCCCTGAGAAGGACAAAATGAGCCCAAAACCTTGTAAAATCAATGATTTTGCTATGAAGGAAGATGAGCTCGGCCCCCCCAGGAGGCCCAAATGGGGCCAACACCGTAGTAAAATCAATGATTTTGGCTTCAAAGAAGAGGAGAGGGGCCAAACTCCCTCCCCCCCTCGGGGCCAGAATCCTCGTGAGGGTCGTCGTTTTTTGGCCCTCCCAGGAGTCGAATAAGACCCCCCTGACACCACCCCGGACTCCCTGTCCAGGTCCAGGGGGAGGGGGTAGGGGGAGGGGTAAACCCCTCCCCGAAGGGGAAGAAGGGGGGTTGAGAACAGAGAGAGCTCTCTAAACCACTCACGCCCAAAGGGAGGAATTCTGGAAAGCAGGACGGACTTCTGATGATTCCCTGCCTCCTCAGAAGGCTGCCGCCCTCTCCCTCCCCGCCTCGGCACGTCGCCAGAAATTGGACTCATGCGGCCAGCATCGCGGAATTGGTGGAGACTCCAAGCATACGCCCGTTTGCCTGGGGATTTTTCTTGTGTTGCAACGTTCTTATGTGCTCAGCCGACGTCGCTTTGAGCCGTAATCTGCTTTAATTGTATGCACGCGTGCCCGCAGGGCGGCGGCGCTGACAGTCCGCAGCCCGCAAATGACAAGGCGTGCATCCGTTCTGTAAGATGTAGGTCTCTCTGGCAGCAGCTACCCCTGCCCGCAAAAGTAATGCAAGTCCTCGTGCTCACTCTCGTCTTCCGCGACAGCTGCGTTTAATTTGCAGCTGGTTGCAGGAGCGCCAGGGCGTTGCGCGGGTGTGGCGCGATGATTTGCTGGGGCGTGGCCGCAGAGTCGTGGCCGACCCGTGTCGGATTGTGGCTCGCTTGTGGGGTTGGACTTTTCTGTTGGGCTGGTGACAGGGCTGTAGGCGACTGGGTACTTTGCAGACCCGCAGAAGGCACCTGGCCACCACCACCACCACCACCACCACTGTGCTCATGCCAGGGCCATCCTGGGCCCTAGAATGGTGTATAGACCCTTCTGGCCTCGGCCAGAAGGGCGTCTACCAGAGGGAGGGGAAACGACACAACCACCAGCGGGACACCTTCAGCGAGCAGGCACACGATGCCTTCCCGAGTCGGCGACTATCAAGGGTATGGTTACGCCGGGGTGTGGTTTGCGATCGGCGCCGTTGGGGCCTGGGGGGCACGACACTGTCCTCGTCGGGCCTCCTCGGGGCGCGGCGGAGAGTTCTGTCGAGGTCCTCGCCCGCCCCCCAGGGTGCCCCCCAGAGTGCCGGCTGCAAACCACATCCTGCAAACCACACCCTTCGGGGTCGCCCGAGACGGAGATTGGAGGTACCTCAAGTGGGACGGCGACAAGCAGGGGGAACACGCCACCAGGAACACGCTCAGGCTCTTCGCAAGGGTGGTGGTGTCGATGTTTTGGCTCCTGGCGCACACCATGCCAGACACCAGGATGTCCCCGGCCAGGCACGGCGGCCGTTGGCGGCGTCTGGACGCCTTCTGCATGGCAGCCACCTGGGCGACACCAAAAAGCGGGGTCGTCTGCGCCGACATTGGCGCGTAAGCTGTCCGCGTAAGCTCGCGCGTAAGCGCCCTCGCTTCAAGCGTGGCGTGCCGCGCGGGCGGCCCGCGTAGGCTCCGTCGCGAGGTCGCCGAGCCCTCTCGCGTAAGACCCCTCTCGCTTCGTCGCCCGCCCGGAGGACGGGGGCGGGACGGGGCGGGCGACGGCGAGCGGGAGCGGGAGCGGGAGCACGAACCGGAGGAGGAGGCAGAGAAGAGCAGCGGCCCCCCGAAGATCCTCCCGACCTGACCACGCGGCCCCGCCCCAGGCTTTCGCGCGCTGCGCGGCTCGCCGTGCCGCCCCCTCGCGGCTCCGACCTTGCGGGGACGGCGGCCGCGTGCCAATGCGCGCCGCTGCTGCGCCTTCTCACCGTAGCAGCGGTCACTAATGATGGTCGTGTGGTTCGACAAGTCTGCGAGTCACTGGAAAGGGCCCCTTCTCCCTCGAGTCGCTGCTCTCGTTCCCGCCTGCCGAGGCTCCCAAGATCGCCCTCGACAGCCCCAAACGCTCCAAGACTGCCCGAGATGCCCGCCGCGCCCCTTGATGCTACCAGACCTCCAGCCGGTCCCCGGGGGGCTCCCAAAGGCCGCCAAGGGCCCGAAGTGGCCCCAGGAAGTGCAAGACAGCCCAGCAGAGCTCCAAGAGGGGCCCAAGGCGGACCCAAAAGGCTACAGGACCCCAGGACATCTCCAACGGGCTCAGATCGTTCCGAAGCTGACTGAATTTTGCATGTATCCTCTGCATTTTGCGATTGGGCTCTCTTCGCTTTAAATGTTGATCCAAGAGATGCTCAGAGCTGCCCAAGAGCACTCAAAAAGGGCCCCACGAGCGCCCAAGATGGCCTGGGACTGCCGAAGAGGATTTCTAGAGACGCCCAGTCTGGACCACGAGGGCCGCAAGGCAGTGTAAGGCGGCCCACGGATAGCCCACGAGTGCCCCACGATGCCTCACGAGAGCCCAATGGGGACACCAGAAAGCCACACGAAGGCCCCTAAGACAACCTCCAATACAGGCCCACAGCGCTCCAAGAAAGCCCCGAGATGGCCGCGCGAGAGCCCCACGACAGGGGATGACGATGATGAGGGGGAGGGGGAGGAGGAGGAGGAGGGGGAGGAGGATGAGGAGGAGGAGGACCAGTGTAAAACCAAGAGTCATCAACGATGTCGGAGTTAACCCTCCCTCCAAGCTCCCTCTTCGTAGGCCCCCACAACGGTTCATTTCCATGGAGGGAACTGCCTCGTTGGAAGAACCGTTTGAAGCTCCTGAAGCATACCCAAACCCAAAACATTGTTCTCGGGATTTCAGCGCCACGTACTATCAATCTGACTGCTGCGTCTTGACGACCTGGAATCGTGCCAGAGCGCCATCTTTGGTACTTCAATCCTGAATCCTTCCAAAACGCCATTTCTGGTACGTTGATCATGGGAATCCGTGAAGCTCTTGCTTAAAAACAAACACGAATGTGCGCGGCGCTAAGGCAAGAACCGCATTTTGAAAACGGCCCGCCCTTAATCCGTGAAACTCTTGCAAAGTAAAAAAAACGAACGTGCGCGGCGCTAAGGCGAGAGCCACATTTTGAAGAAGACCCGCCCTCAATCCGTGAAGCTGTCGTCACTTTTTAAGCTTCAGAGTCATAAATGGTGAGGAAGTCTCAGACGAAACGCCCGGCCCGCCCTAAAAACTGGCCTCGTGGTGCGACAGGGAGGAGTTATCTATAAGGAGAATGAATGGAGCAGGAGGAGGAGGAAGAGGAGGAGGAGGAGAAGGAGGAGGTCGAGGAGGAGGAGGATGAGGAGGAAGGGGGAGGAGGAGGAGAAGGAGACGGAGGGGAAGGAGGAGACCCCCCCCTGCCCGCACCCATTACTCCTTCCTCCCCTTGCTTTCCGCATCCTTATCGTGCTCGTTCTTGCTCCTGCTTTTTCTCTTCATCCTTCCTCTTCTAATCCTTTTTCTTCTTCCTTCTCCTCCTTTTCCTCATCCGCCTCCTCCGCTTATCCCTCGGTCCGGCTCTTCCTCCCTTTCAGCGCTTCTCTTTCCTCCCTTGTTCCCTACTCCACTACCTTCACCTTTCCCTGTCTCCCCAGCGCCGCCTCATTCCTTCGCCTCCCCTACCTGTGGCTGGTTGGGAGCGCGGGGGCGCTGTGTTTGTTTGTTTGTTTGTTTGTGTATGTTTTTTTTTTTTTTTTTTTTGTGTGTGTGTGTGTGTGTGTGGGCAGCGGCTGAGGGAAATCCTTGCGGCAGTTATGCACAATTGTGCTTATGTGTGACCCCCTCGCCTTTACCCGAGCCTATTTTCGTGTCCTCAGCAACGAACGCGCTTGCTTTGAAGCCCAAGGTTCCATTTTGATTCGGGCATTTTTTTTGTTTTTCGTTTTTTCAACGCCATGCGTTGGCTTCCAAGACAGGCAAACTACAGCACAAAGAAGACACGACAGCATCCCAGCAGAAATGATCATAGACTTGCGCCCCCATTGGTGCCGCCTAGTTGATTTGACGCTTGCTAGCGTATGTATTCAATTTGGCATGTGTAGGGCGAATCCTTGTGGACATATTCGTTGTCCTCGTCAGCCATGCTAGCTAGCAGTTGAGCAGACCGCATGCGCAACCTGGGCAGAACACTGGAGTGCTGCCCGAGACGTAACGAAGGGTAGCTTGTAGATTTGGCCCTGACCAGTTGCCAAACGTGTCATTCGTTCACCGGTGCACAGCAGTCCGACTGAAATATTCATGTACGAATCCGTCTGAGCTCCACGCTGACGTGCCATCGTAGGCTACCCGAGCCGCACACTCCAGCATGAACTTGTGATGCCTCGTGTGGCTCGGCTGCCCCGGGACATCAAGAGGCATGGCATGTCGGGCGTCGTGGCAGGCAGGGCTGGGGCAGGGCACGACAGTCGATGGGTGCGGGATCACGGCTGGCACGAGGGTCGATAACAGCCCAGGCTTTGCCACCTTGGAGCGCTTTTCGCTTTGGGTATCTCCGTACGGTCTTGGGCCCTCAGTGAAGGGGCTCACGTTCTTGACCCACGTTCTTGTGGCCACGTTTCGACTGTATGAAAGCAATGGCCACAGGGGGTGGGAGGTGGGTGGGGGGCGGCGTATGTCGGGCGCAGTGGCAGGCAGGGCGGGCACTGGCAACAAAAGCATCGGCGCCTGTGTTGGAGCTTCTGATCGTTCCAGCAGGGGGTGTAGGGCGTAGTGGCAGGCAGCACGTGCGCTGGGGGGTGGGTGGGCAGGGTGGCTTATGACAAGAAGCGGCAGTGTCGTGGCCGAGGGAGGGCAGAGATGCGGGTGGCGGCAGGCAGGGAGGCCGCCGAGCACGAAGAGCGAGGGGTGCGGGGTCCTCGGAAGCGAAGACACAGGCACAGGATGTCTGGCGTGGCGGGCAAGGAAGGCGCCGGGCACGATGATCGAGGTTTGGGAGGCTTTGAACACAAGAGCGGGTGGCGCTGTGTGGGTGGCAGAGGATGTCGGCCGTGGGGACAGACAGGGTGTTGGCCCTGGCATGAGAGGTGGGGGCTTTGAGCGCAAGGACCAGTCCAGGTTTGGTGTTTACGAGCGAGTTCGTTGTGTGCAGCGACTGCTCGGTCGACGCTGCCACTGCTCTGCAGTGCGGCGACGTAGCCTTCCTCTCGGGACATGTGCTATCTGGCAAGTGTACCTTTTGGCGGCCCTTGCCAGGTGGCTTAGGCTGCTGAGGACTGGTACGCTCACTGCAGAGGCATCTCGGGGCAATGGCCCGCGCGCGTGTGCTGAAAGGGAAGTGACACGAAGCGGTCTCGTGCGATAGGAGGCACAGTTACGGTCTCACCAGGCTGAAGGGCGCGGGAGACTTCGGTCCTGGCTACGCTGTGGGTCAGGGGCCCTCGAGCCGAGACTGGAGGGAGGGAGAGAGAGAGAGAGAGAGTGAGAGAAGACACAAGGAGGGAGAGGGAGGCATACATTAGAGAGGGAGAGAGGGGGAGAGGTACATTTGGAGAGGGCGCGAAGAGAGAGGAGGAAACGTGCGGCAGAGGAGAGCTGGAACACACACACGTCGTCCCTCTCCTCCTCCCTTCCCCCTCCTCCCTCTTTTCCGCCCTCTCTCTCCTCTTCTCTCACCCCTCCTTATCTTCCTCCCGCCCCCCCCCCGCCCGTTACACCCCTGGGGCTGCCGCTGGCACCGGCTGCCCAGACGGTCTTGGCGCAGCCGTTGCCTTCCGCTCGAGCTCACCGCCCCGCGGCCGCTGCAGCTTCAGCGTTTCAGGACTGACCGGTTTGCGAATCCTAGCGGGGCTTGGGTGCCGAGCGATCAGGTACGCCCCGTTCAGGCAAGAGTACTGCGGCTCGCTCTGGACGGGGAACAGGAGTTCAGATTCGGACATCACCCTTTGGGGACGACGTTCTGCCCTGAGGCCCGCCCCTTGCCGGGAGCCGTAATGCGCCTCGTTGCGCAGCGCTTCCCCCAATCGCGCCCCAAGGGGCCCCAGGTGGCAGCCGAACAAGCGTCGGGGTCAGCTCTTGGGAGCGCTGTTCTTGAGTGCCGGGACGGGGTGATCATCTGTAGGAGGTCCTTTCCAACGATGCACGTGCACCGATCTTGAGCCCAGGATCGGCGTGTATGCCTTTTTTGGTCAAGCCACCAGTCGGTACATGCACCGATGTTGGGTTCAGGAAGGGCCACGCCAGGATCGGTGTGGGTGTATAGTTGGCGTCCTCCTACTCTGAGAGCCAGGCTGGGTTTGGGGAGGCCTGCGGAGCTTCTGCGGGGCACCCAGCGAAAGCACAGGGGGCTTCCAACGAAACGTTGGAGGCTGCAAGCCGCCAGATAGGAGGAGAGGGGCGGGGATGGAAGGGACCGAAGGGGGGAGGGCGGGTAGGAGGGAAGGAGGATCATGGCTGGGCTGGAGCGTGGGGGAGCCCGAAAACGCGAGAGCGCCCAAAGCACATCGAAAGCGTAGAGGGGAGAATCATGCTTCTCTTGCCCTCTTTGGGGGCCCTCTCGGAACGCCCTTGGGGCTGCTTCGGGGCCTCTTGGGCCGTCTTGGGGGCCCTCGGGAGATGTGGGGGCCGCCGGGGTGCGCCGGCTGCCACGGCGAGCAGGCTCCGCTCCGCAGTGCGCGCAGCCGCTCCCGACGGCAAGGGGGGTCCCCGGCCTCGAACTTGTCCGTATCCCTAAGATTGGAAAGAGCGTGTTCTACCGCTGCTGGCGGAAAACCGGGGGGGGTCACTGCCGGTTCGAACCCCTCCCCCCCCCCCTCCTCCGGAAAACCGGGGGGGGTCACTACCGGTTCGAACCCCTCCCCCCCCCCCGCCCCAGTTCATCATGAAAAGGGGGGGGTCACTACCGGTTCGAACCCCCCCCCCCCTCGAAGCTCGAAAACCGGGGGGGGTCACTACCGGTTCGAACCCCCCCCCCCCCCCCCTCGAAAACCGAGGGGGGGTGCGGACAGTGGTGGGGACGGTGGTGGTGGGGACAGTGGTGAGGGGACAGCGGGACAGTGGTGGGGACAGTGGGACAGTGGTGGGGACGGTAGTGGTGGGGACAATGGTGAGGACAATGGTGGGAACAGTGGGGACAGTGGGACAGTGGTGGGGACGGCGGTGGTGGGGACAGTGGTGTGGGGACAGTGGGAATGTGGTGGAAACAGTAGGACAGTGGAGGGTACAGTGGTGGTGGGGACAGTGGTGAAGGCGGTGGCGAGGACGGCGGTGGGACAATGGGACAGAGGTACAGTGGGGACAGTGGTAGGGACAGTGGGGGAACAGTGGGACAGCTCAGTGGTTCGAACCGGTAGTGACCCCCCCCTCCGGTTTTCGAGGGGGGGGGGGTTCGAACCGGTAGTGACCCCCCCCGGTTTTCGAGTTCGAGGGGGGGGGGGGGGGTAGGGGAGGGGGGGGTCTTGCCGGGGGAGGGGGGGGGGAGGGGTTCCAGCAGGGGGGGGATTTTCGGAGGGGGGGGGGGGACCCCCGGGTTCCGGAGGAAAAGGGCGGCAATTTTACACAGTAAAGCGGCGGTGGATCCCGCTCTCTCTAAGATTGACACGCTAAAAGGCGATGACAATCTTAGGGATGCGCTCTGAAAAACTAGGGACAATCCCTAAGATTGGCATTGTGATGAGGCGATGCCCAACATAGGGATAGGGATATGTTCCAGGCTGGTAAGGGGGGACGCGTTCGTCCCTGGTTGCCCCAGCGACGCTCGGCAATCCTCCAGGGAACGAAGAGCACACGTCGCAGGGACTCAGGTCGGGCATGTCCCTCTTCAGGATGACTGTTGAGAAATCGTGGAAGCATAGCCTCGTGGCGAGTTTTCGGGCTCTGTTCAGCGTGCGCAAGAGATAGCCTGGAAACAGTCTTCTGGATGCTGGCCAGGCGCACGTCCGATGCACCCCTCGCTGCCATAGACACACACCTTCGGAGGTCAGAGCGGATTTTTGGGGTCCCACCCGGCAGGGTCCGCAGTTCCGCCTTCCAAATCCAAAGTTCAAGGTAAAGGAGCCGTCCCGCCATGGCACGTCCATCAGATGGAGTTGTTGCAGAAGCAGCTGGAGGCCGCCAACGCCAAGGTGGAGAGCCAGAGCCAGGACGCCATGGCAGTGGACGAAGGCGGCCAGTCTGAGATCACGGGAGTCCAGAAGAAAGCCAGGCTGGAGGAGATCGAGACATCTCTTCGGGCCATCGCTGGACTCAAAGACAAGGATTTCGCGACGACGCGCACGGCACTCGAGGAGGAGCGGCGCCGATTGCGAGGTGGACTTGAAGAATCAAAACCTGTCCCTGCTCGACTCCGCTCGCTGGCATTTCAGTCTAGCAAGCTCCAGCAGCGGAAGGTCAGGCATGGTGAAGCGTTGTCTGCGGCCAAGGAAGCTCTTCTCAAGGCCCAGCAAGCAATCGATGAGGAGGAGGAGGAGGCAAAGATCGCGGATATCGAGACGCAGCTGCTGGAGATCAGTTCGGAACAGACCCGTCTGTCTGCGCAGGTGCCGCGAGTCAACCCAGCGAAGGAGGGCGACCACCAAGCGGACATGGTCGAGTCGCTCGGTGTCACGGTCGAGAAGCTTGGTACCATCCTGGAACAGCTCGGAGGCAGTGGACAGATGGCCAGCAAGCTTGGCGAGATCCCCACCGAGGTGCGCGATTTCGAAGCTTCACAGAAGCGTATGGCGGAGGAGGCCAAGCCTAAGAAGGCTCAGGAGACGCAGGCAGAACAGGCCCAGCAAAACGGTGTCAAAGCTGAGGCGGGGCCTGACTTCCCCAACGTGGACGAGGCCGACATCGATGAGATGCGTGACTTCCTGCAGGCGTCTGGGGTTAACGTGCCATCGTGCCATAAGAAGAAGAGGATGTTCGCGGGCAGGTTCGCAAGAGGTATGAGGGCGTCGGGAAGTGGCGTACGCAAAAGAAGGCCAAGACGAGCTGAGTCAAGCTCACGGCCGCCTTGTGGGAGATACGACCCCGTCCGCCAGCACGATGATTCTCCGTGCAGGTCCCTTGGGGTTGATGTGAGGCATGGTCGTGGCTCCCACACATGCACGATGATTTCGGCTACCACTTGTACGTCGATTGTTCGAGCGGAGAAGTTTGCCAGGTCCCGTTCGGGTATGAGCTGGAGTTCATGGAGGATCATGGTGATGTTGATATGGCCGTTGTGCAGTTCGTGTGCAATGGCATCTACGACAGGGGCGGTGGCAAGCAGCATTCATGCCAACCCGCTGTTCAAGGCTAAGGGCGCTGA